CTTTGTTTGTATTCCCAGTTTTCTACAAGGTGTTTATGAGGATGGTTACGATTCTTTCTAACGCATCTTTCATAAATTTCTAAAGTGGGTTTTTCTCTCCGCAACCTGAGGGGTTCCACATCTGTATGGATTTCACATGCAGCAGTTGGGGTAGACCGCATAGCTCCGCAGATTAATCGGAAAACATTATTTTGTACTCTGTTAAGAGTCTCTAGGTTAGTTTTGAAGCAGGCTTGTATGCAGTAAGTTGTTGTACTCTATCACAGAGCGAACATATCCAAGATATAAGCCCCTCAGAGTTTCCTTGTCTGATCCCCATGATGTACCTGCAAGTCTCTTTAATAACTGTAACCGTTTCAATGCCTTAATCCTTACTTTTTCAATTTGGTTCTTGAGACTGAGCTGCCGGTCAAGTGTGACCCCAGGGTATGTAGGGTTAGGGCTCTTCTTTCATGACTTGGTGTTTGTCTAACCTCAGGTTAATATCCTTCCTTGCTACTTGATGGCTTTTGGTAAAGATTGTTTAGACCGTCTTTGTATAGTTAACCTTCAGTTTCCATCTTCGGCAGTACTCATGCAGTCTTCTAAGGTCTCCATTTAGTCTTTGGGCTCCCCGTTCTACATTTTCATGACTCTGCCTTATTGCTAGGTCATCAGCGTACAAGGCTTTTTCGGCCTTGATTTGTTCTGGCAAGTCATTGATAAAGATTGGAAACAGTGAACAGCTCAGTGATGAGCCTTGTGGCAAGCCCATAATTGCTCAACCGCCTGTGCCAGTGATTCCAGTCACAAACTGAGTCAGAAATGCTGGATACTTCAAGTGAATGCCGTAGCCATACAAAGTGTCCTCAGTCAGCAAAACACAAAAGATTTGATCTGGCAGCCCATCAGGTGCATGCCTTCTTAAACACACTGGGAGATCTGGCGTCATCGGTGAAAATCAACTTCTTTCGACGAATAGCTGGGCGATGAGTAGATGAAAACTATTCCTGACCATTCCCCACACGTCCTCAGCCAAGTTGCAGTCACGGCCAGCAAATAAATAGCAGCTATAGCACACGCCTTGTCCCAGGAACACAACGAAGAAAAATACATGACCCATCATTGCCATTATGTACGAATCTGGAATACAGTCAATAACCGATAATCACAGCTCATAGTGCCGCCAGGAGCACTAAGTAGCTCCTGCTGCTGACCGGACTTCCACAGTCTAGCAACATCGACACTGGAGGAGAAACGGTAACGAGAATGTTCAACGTAAGCTAAGTTATCAACCGTCATCCATTCCCTATCAATGTCAGAACCGTAAGTTCCTTACCAATGTTGATAGGGTGTTACGGGTTGAAATGAACAGGGACTAACTCTAACCATAACCACAACACCCCTATACTACTGGATTTTTCCAGAAAAATCTGGGATTTCCTGTGTTTTGGGGTGAATAAAAAAAGAGAACCGAAATTTGTTTTTAAATAAAAAAGGTAGAGAGAAAATGTGCGAAGGTGTGGTGAAATCAAACCAGTGGATACATGACATGTGTGAATTTATACAAGGGCTGTGTTTAAAGATAACTTGTCAGCTCCTTGTCGTTCCAAGCGGTCACTTCCGAGACGAATCCCTCTTGAACTCTACCTCTGTCAGCTTCTGTTGTTTTTTTGCGTTTGTCTCCCTTGTCTTGTAAAGGATTCTGCAGTTGCGCTGTGGTTAGACACTTGCCGATTGGCTCAAAAAATTTCGAAGTCATTTCTGTATCCAACCGGACTTTTTATAATTGCTGTTTGCTCCCAGGTCGACCTGCCCATAACTGTTATCAGGGAATGTCACAAGAAGTAAAGGCAGATGGTGGGAGCTTACCACATTACTAATTGAGAAGTTAATCCACTAAGTTGTGATTAAGAAGTTTAACGACAATGGAAGGCGGAACACACACACACATACACACGTGCACCCCCTCCCCCACCCCCTACAAACACACACGCACATACAAGTTCACACACGCGCATACACACATACAAACACACATTCGCATGCACACTCATACAAGTACACACCCACACACTCAAGCGCGCGCGCACACACACACAAACACCCACAAGGGGACAATCGGATGTGTCGGCAAAAGCCTTTATCGACACATACCACAACAACGAAAAAAGCACAGAGAATCCACGCCACAGGTTCTCCGAGGGACGGTCACGTAAACAAATATAGGAAAAGGAAAACATGGTGCAGTAAGAAGTAAATAAATTTAATTTTAAAAAAAAAGTGAAAGTAGTAGTAGTAGTAGTAGTAGTAGTAGTAGTAGTAGTAGTAGTAGTAGTAGTAGTAGTAGTAGTATAGTGGTGATGGTAAGATGCTACTCTCTTGGGAATAATTTCTTTATATTAACTTGATTGTAATCATCCCTGTCTTCATCACCAGTTGAGACACGATTTGTCAATGGAATATGCATCTCGCAATATGTGTCATATTCACACATTCTGTGTGTCCGACGGATCCCCTCAAATGTCGGCATTGCGACTCAGTGTTCTGGAGTATATCACATGCCAAGCCAACGGTTAACCGCCCCCCCCCCTCCCCAATCAGTATTTTTGTCGCCGTGATGTAGCGACTAAGCGCTCGCCTGTGGATCTGAACATCATGGGTTCGAATCAGAACGGAGCTGGACTTCTTCTTTTTTATCAATAAGTGATCTTACCTTTTAGGTTTACCCAGTTTGAGTGAGTATCAGGTAAAGCCATGGGAAGTAAAGGCGGCCTGTATGATGCTGACCACATCACCCACCTAAGGCCGATTGGTCTATAAAATATAGCTCTACCACTACATGCCCAGCACGCCTAAAGACGTGGAAAAGGGTTCTTCACTTGTATTTGTGTTGATCAAATCTGTTTGTGGATGACCTATCCTATCTTTTATGATAACGGTCTTTTTTCTTTAGTGTGATATTAAGTTTCGTCTTGTTCCGGAATTCCCCTCACTCTCAGATCTGCTACATGAAAGTAACACAACTACTGGGTAATTAAAAAAAAACATCGTTCTGGATGGCAAGCCAACCAGGCAAGTCCCAGTCTACTCGTTCAACCCCGAAGAAGTTATAATAGTGGTACCTGTAACGACCACACCAACTTGGTGTAAAACATGCAGTCATTTGCCGGTAAGAACTGGGACTTTTTCATTTCCGTTTAGCACACGATTATAAGTCAGTAAGTACATTTTCACCCCACCAGGACATCAGACAGAGTGATAAACACCCGGTGACAAAAAGTGCCAACATGCGGATGAGGATCACCCAGGGAGAGGTCCCGGAAACCGCGTTCAACCGTCAGGTTATATTGAGGCCCCCGGAAACAGCCAGAGTGGAGCTTTGAAATAACGAAAAAATGCATCCCCGAAGAGGGACGACAAAACTAAGCAGACGATTCAACATCGATTTGTGTCGTGAGTTCGTGCTAACTTTTCTCTTCCGTGTCTTGTTTTGGTTTATTTTTGCCCCTTGGTCGCGTGAGCGCACAGCACGTCTAATAACATCGCCTGGGCGAGTACTCCAAACACTGTTATTTTATCCTGTAATTCACTCAATGAAGGATAGTTAACTCGCCACTAGCAATTCCCGCGTATTACAACAATTGTGATTGTTTCCCCTGTTTAGTTTGACTGACTATGTTCGAAGCTTGACTGATTAAGCTAAACACCGAATTCCGTTACTAACAAACCCCTTAAATTGATAGGGTAACCCCATCTTTTGTCAGTCAACACATGTATGTTCTGGAAAACAAAAATACATTTAAAAAATAAGTTTTCCACATCTGGGATAACAGTCTATAGAATTACCATCTCAAGGGTGAAAATCACACCGGTACAAACCCCGGAGATCCCGTTTAGCTGCATAAATTGGAACACCTTTTTTAGTATCCAGAAGCCATGAGTTGTTAACCCTTAGGTTTGGTATTATAGATATCGCAACCTTTCGGCCTTTATTCCATGATAAATACCGTAAATCTGAGAGAAATGTGGTTTTTCTGCCTACCCCCGGGCTTGAACCCGGACCACAAGCAGTTCGTCACCAGGTAACCGCGCAGTCCGGTTTAGCCAACTACGCTAGCGAGCCGGGCAAAGGGCGCCTGTTGGTTACAAAGTCCTCCTTCTGAACCTTTGTAAGACTGCAGGTTCGACTTGGCTTGTGTGCCCGTTACGGATAGCTGGTCCCTAGTCTCTTTCTCTATAACTCAGTTACTTTCATACTCTTCCTCAATGACTCTAGCTCTTTCTCTATAACTCAGTTACTTTCATACTCTTCGTCAATCACTCTAGCTCTTTCTCTATAACTCAGTTACTTTCATACTCTTCCTCAATGACTCTAGCTCTTTCTCTATAACTCAGTTACTTTCATACTCTTCCTCAATGACTCTAGCTCTTTCTCTATAACTCAGTTACTTTCATACTCTTCGTCAATCACTCTAGCTCTTTCTCCCTCTACCTCTCCATACATGCACATATATAACTGACTGACTGATGTTCAACCGTACCAGGACGCCACGACAAGCGACTAACACAAAGTGACACAATGTGCCACCATTCGGATGAGAATCCCCTATGCGCAGTTCCAGAAACCCTGTTCAGCCGTTAGCTATATTAGGGCCCCTAACGACAGCCTGGGTATGTCTTTAAAAAAAAAAGAGAACAAAGTTCTTCCCGTACTTGGAGGGCGTTATTATTTGCACATACATAACTGATTGATTGGCGTTTAATCCCACACGGACATCACACCGAGCCATAAACACCCGGTGAAACAAGACCATCATTTTGATGAAGGTCACCCAGGGATAGGTCCTAGATCCCCAATGCCAGGATTTAGCTTTAAAACAACACAGTATTATGTCCGACATTAGGACGCACTGCGCACATACCTAACTGTCCCTCTGACTGGACTCCAGTGTCCACTCTGACTGACCATTCCCCCGCCATAAGTTCTATATAAATGTTTTTTTTTTTTCTGCCTACAGGATTCCTCGGCCACGTCCACGCCCGACGTGTCCCCCACTACATCCCCCACAAAGAAGGAAGCTCCACACCATCTGCCAAGTCCTCAGTCTTCCCCTGTCCTTCACAGACAAAGAAGTGCAACGATTGACACCAGCTCACTCAATCGTTCAGGCCTGCAGCGGGCCAGACAAAGGGACGTCAACCACAACACTACTGCAGGCCCGGTGAAGACAACGTGAGTAGCGTCCCTTACACTTGAAACTTCTTTTCTTTCTCCCTGTCATTAGTTTGCAGGTGAAAAAGCCACATGCTTTATAAAGGTATCGTGAAAAAGTATCAAACCAGATAAACAGTAGAACCATTCAGCTGTACATTATCACAGACACAAACGAAAAGTGAACGTTGTGTCTAGAGAACCTTCATCAGCGCATTATATAAATTTACAATACCACACAAATTAACAAGAGAAAACAAAAGCACAACTGACGTGTATCCAATAGAAGTCAAATTTATCTCTGGACAGTAAAATACCTGACACGTGTGTCACCACATGAAAAAAAAAATTATTGCAAGAAAAAGCAACTAGAGTCAAGGGCTGTAACCCAGAGATTTTTGAGTGAACTATGTTGGATGTTGTCCCCTATGTGAACTGGCACCTCTATAAAGACTACGAATTCCAGCGGAAAGTGCAGGCTGCTCATCCATTTGGACTTTCACTTTGTACCAGGGCCTGAGTTCCATTTTACTGGCTTTTATGTGTGCTGTTGTTGTCTCCTGACTTTTAGGCACATACACTTTGACTTTGAAGGAAGATGTTGATCTTATCTCTAGGATGACAGACAGCGGTATGACAGTCGTACAGAATAGGTTCCTAACCACATAAAATTGCCATAGTTATCAGTGAGTCAATTGCAACCAACCTGCACCATTGTTTTTTTATTCAGAGAGTTTGTTGACGTTGTTGTACGCTCTTCTCTGTCATCTCTTTCCAAAAGTATTAGTAGCAATTTAAACAACAATATCTGTTCAACCTATTTTGGGTTATAACTGGGTAGACAGAGCTTGTTTTTGTTTCAGTAATGGATATTTATGCAAATCAGGTATGTTTGTGCATTCGATATTGTATAGCTTATGCACTAATTGTAAAAAGATTGTAGGAGTATAGATTGTCAAGTTGAATATGTGCTAATGTACTTTCAAACAATTATCATAATTATATTGTGTAGTCTACGTCTTTGGATATTCAGAGTGTTCTCGGTCACCATTATTCTGTCTTAAAATATATTAACATCACAAATCAATCAATCAGGTGCTGTCTCCACAGGGAAGGTTGGCTGCAATAGATCTCCAACACTCTCTGTCTCTTGTCCTGGTTGTACACTCAGACTGCAGCTCATCCATCTCTTCATGTTGTCCTCCCACTTGTATTGTTGCCCACCTCTTGTTCTCTTGCCTTTGACCTTTCCCTTCAGTATGGTTTTGAAAAGTGTGTTATGTCTTTTAATGTTGCCAAATTTAAAATTGTCTCTTTTTTTATTTCTTTCAGTAATTATTTTTTTTATTTGTAGCCTTTCCGCAACTTCTGTATTGGACTGTTTTTGTTTCCGTAAAATGCGACCTATTCTTCTGTAAACCCACATCATCAGAGACTCAGTTTGATTTTCTAGTTGCATGTTCATCGTCCAAGTTTCTGCACCACATAGAAGGACTGAGTATACATAACATTTGACGATTCTCATTTTTAGGGAGTTTTTGTATCTCTCTGGATGTCAGTAACTTGCGCTTCTTACTAAAGACATTTTTAGCTATTCCTAATCTCTTTTTGATTTCTGACATCTCATATACTTCTTCTTCTTCTTCTGGTTGCTCGTCCACTACTAAACTGCAGTCCTGCTCCAGAACCTGAGTGTTGCGTGTGCATCAGTTTTACAAATCTCATTCTCTTGAATACAGACTGTTGGTTCCTTGCCTCTCGGGCAGATGCACTCCGACTTCAAAGGAAGCTCCCCAATTAGTCGACTCTTATGACATGCTTTGAGGAAGGCAGTGGGTCTATTCTTGTTTTCCCCTACAATGGGGCCCCGGAACCCACACGGGGGATCTCATATACTGACTCCGGTCTTGGTCTTGCGATGTACTGTTGAATCCTTCCCTGCAGTTCTCTAAAACTATTTACTTCTAGCATGTTTTCTATTGACGTAGGCTTATCGCTGCTTCCCAAAAGTTTGTTCTTTCATTTTAGAAACAAATTAAAAAAGTTCCCAGTTTCTCTTGTTGACCACTTTTTCTCTCACCGCCAGATTTGTGGTCTCCTCTAGCAGCCCTCACAGATCTGACAGTTTGGTGTCCTCAACCTCCAGCTCACAAACTGAGGACAACACTTTGTTAACACCGCATCTGCGACGAGCCAGCAGCACTAGTTCCTGGAGGACCAACATCTTTAACAGAGTCTGCACACCCCAGCACTCGTTTGAAATAGGTATTTGTTTTTGAAGTTGTTGAAGTCAGCATGAAAGATTTACTTGTTTCTCATTTGTGGGTCACATAATACTCATTTACGCAGTCATTCAGGGTATTCATGTTGTCAACAGGTTAGACACCTACTCTGTCATTCAGGGTATTCATGTTGTCAACAGGCTAGACACCTACTCTGTCATTCAGGGCATTCATGTTGTCAACAGGCTAGACACCTACTCAGTCATTCAGGGTATTCATGTTGTCAACAGGCTAGACACCTACTCAATCATTCAGGGTATTCATGTTGTCAACAGGCTAGACACCTATTCAGTCATTCAGGGCATTCATGCTGTCAACAGGTTAGACACCTACTCTGCCAGATGCTTTGGTCATTCCATTAGCCAGCCACAATAGGAACCAATTACTGAACTACACCAGTAGTTGAAGGCTCTGTTACCGTTCCATCAGTCACCCACTCTATGACACAACTGTACTACAATTCCATCAGTCACCCACTCTATGACACAACTGTACTTCCATTCCATCAGTCACCCACTCTATGACACAACTGTACTTCCATTCCATCAGTCACCCTCTCTATGACACAACTGTACTTCCATTCCTTCAGTCACCCACTCTATGACACAACTGTACTACCATTCCATCAGTCACCCACTCTATGACACAACTGTGCTACCATTCCATCAGTCACACACTCTATGACACAACTGTACTACCATTCCATCAGTCACCCACTCTATGACACAACTGTCCTACCATTCCATCAGTCACCCACTCTATGACACAACTGTACTACCATTCCATCAGTCACCCACTCTATGATACAGCTGTACTACCGTTCCATCAGTCATCCACTCTATGACACAACTGTACTACCATTCCATCAGTCACCCACTCTATGACACAACTGTACTACCATTCCACCAGTCACCCACTTTATGACACAACTGTACTACCATTCCATCAGTCACCCACTCTATGACACAACTGTGCTACCATTCCATCAGTCACCCACTCTATGAAACAACTGTACTACCATTCCATCAGTCACCCACTCTATGACACAACTGTGCTACCATTCCATCAGTCACCCACTCTATGACACAACTGTACTACCATTTCATCAGTCACCCACTCTATGACACAACTGTACTACCATTCAATCAGTCACCTATTCTATGACACAACTGTACTACCATTCCATCAGTCACCCACTCTATGACACAACTGTACTACCGTTCCATCAGTCACCCACTCTATGATACAACTGTGCTACCATTCCATCAGTCACCCATTCTATGACACAACTGTACTACCATTCCATCAGTCACCCACTCTATGACACAACTGTACTTCCATTCCATCAGTCACCCACTCTTTGACACAACTGTACTACCATTTCATCAGTCACCCACTCTATGACACAACTGTACTACCATTCCATCAGTCACCTACTCTATGACACAATTGTACTACCATTCCATCGGTCACCAACTGTATGAAACAACTGTACTACCATTGCATCAGGAACCCACTCTACAATACAACTGTTTTATTACTCTATTAGTCACCCACTCTATGATACAATTGTTTTATAACTCTATCATTCACCCACTCTATGACACAACTGTACCACCATTCTATCAGTCACCTACTCCATAATACAACTGTCCTCTTGCTCCACCAGTCACTCACTCTATGACACAACTGTACCACCATTCCATCAGTCACCCACTCTATGACACAACTGTACTACCATTTTATCAGTCACCCACTCTATGACACAACTGTACTACCATTCTATCAGTCACCCACTCTATGACACAACTGTACTACCATTCTATCAGTCACCCACTCTATGACACAACTGTACTACCATTCTATCAGTCACCCACTCTATGAAACAACTACTACCATTGCATCAGGAACCCACTCTATGATCCAACTGTTTTATCACTCCATTCGTTACTGACTTTATGACACAACCATTTCAACAGAGGCAATCATTATAGCCAACACTATCATCACATCCGGTGCTCCACTATGGAGAACAAAGAACAGACCCACTAGCCTCTAACAGATATGTTGCAGGAGGCAACAAATTAAGGGTGTGTCCTTCAAAGTCACAGGGCATCTGCTTGAGAGGCAAGAAACCAACAGTCTGCATACATAAAAGCTATATCTGTTAAAGGGATGTGTACACGAATGAAAGTGTTGGATCAAGACTAAATTCCAGGAGTGGATGAACAACCCAAACTTTCTGCAGCAGTTTAAAACACAAGGACACTAAGAAGAACTAGAAAAAAAATACCCTGTTTAACCTTCAGAGAGGTTATTATTAGGGCACCTTTGACACCATCACTAGCCAAGTGGAACATGCAACCCTATGTGGGTGAAGAAAGATTCTACAGCAACATCCTCATTTTCATCACCACTATATTCCCCCACCATCATCACTATAGTCCCCCCACCATCATCACTATAGTCCCCCCACCATCATCACTAAAGTCCCCCCACCATCATCACTATAGTCCCCCCACCATCATCACTAAAGTCCCCCCACCATCATCACTATAGTCCCCCCACCATCATCACTAAAGTCCCCCCACCATCATCACTATAGTCCCCCCCACCATCATCACTATAGTCCCCACCACCATCACTATAGTCCCCCCACCACCATCACTATAGTCCCCCCACCATCATCACTATAGTCCCCCACCATCATCACTATAGTCCCCCCACCATCATCACTATAGTCCCCCACCACCATCACTATAGTCCCCCCACCATCATCATCACTATATTCCCCCACCATCATCACTATAGTTCCCCCACCATCATCACTAAAAGTCCCCCCACCATCATCACTATAGTCCCCCCACCACCATCACTATAGTCCCCCCACCATCATCACTATAGTCCCCCACCATCATCACTATAGTCCCCCCACCATCATCACTATAGTCCCCCCACCATCATCACTATAGTCCCCCCAACCATCATCACTATAGTCCCCCCACCATCATCACTAAAGTCCCCCCACCATCATCACTATAGTCCCCCCACCATCATCACTATAGTCCCCCCCACCATCATCACTAAAGTCCCCCCACCATCATCACTAAAAGTCCCCCCACCATCATCACTAAAGTCCCCCCACCATCATCACTATAGTCCCCCTACTATCATCACCACCAGCGGCCATATTGAATCTTCTTTTCATTGTTCTGACATGTACAATATCTGCAGGAGATGAGAGTCCGCACACTGATGGCAAGTTACACAGTACTGTGGAGATCCGAACCATGTGGAAAAAACTTATCCTAGAGAGTTTGCTTTTGATTAGAATGGAAAAAGAGAATCACACCATCCGAGGTAACATGTTCTGTCACTTCCCATGACTTTGGATAGAGGTTGTTTTTAGTTGCCCCCCTTCCCATGACTTTAGATAGAGGATGTTTTTTAGTTGCCTCCCTTCCCATGACTTTAGATAGAGGTTGTTTTTAGTTGCCTCCCTTCCCATGACTATAGATAGAGGTTGTTTTTTAGTTGCCTCCCTTCCCATGACATTAAATAATTTTCTTTTTGTGTGTGTGTTTGTTGTCTTTTGTGGCCTCCCTTCCCATGACTTTAGGTAGAGGTTGTTTTTAGTTGCCTCCCTTCCCATGACTTTAGATAGAGGTTGTTTTAAGTTGCCTCCCTTCCCATGACTTTAGATAGAGGTTGTTTTTTAGTTGCCTCCCTTCCCATGACTTTAGATAGAGGTTGTTTTTAGTTGCCTCCCTTCCCATGACATTAAATAATTTTCTTTTTGTGTTTGTGTTTGTTGTCTTCAGTGGCCTTCCTTCCCATGACCTTAGTCAACAGTGTTTTCATTTGTTGTCTCCTGTTTTAAGACATTAATGGTGGTCATTGTTTTCCTTTAGGATTGCTAATAGTACGATTAACACCTCAACATAGGTATGTAGTTTGTCTATGCCAGGTTTGCATTTATTAGGATTAGTAACCTCAAAATGATAATTGATCACGGTACAAAGCCTGGAAGCCCATTAGACTGCACTGCATTTAAGTTTACTTTAAAGTCATTTACACTTCCATAGTAACCTGAAGTTTTGAGCAGGCAGAGGATTGATTGTTAGCCGTAGGTAGCTACTTTGTCTGCTCTAGGACTGTAGTTTTCAGGATTGATTGTTAACGGTAGGTAGCTACTTTGTCTGCTCTAGGACTGCAGTTTTCAGGATTGATTGTTAGCGGTAGGTAGCTACTTTGTCTGCTCTAGGACTGCAGTTTTCAGGATTGATTGTTAGTGGTAGGTAGCTACTTTGTCTGCTCTAGGACTGCAGTTTTCAGGATTGATTGTCTGCTCTAGGACTACAGTTTTCAGGATTGATTGTCTGCTCTAGGACTACAGTTTTCAGGATTGATTGTCTGCTCTAGGACTGTAGTTTTCAGGATTGATTGTCTGCTCTAGGACTGCAGTTTTCAGGATTGATTGTCTGCTCTAGGACTACAGTTTTCAGGATTGATTGTCTGCTCTAGGACTGCAGTTTTCAGGATTGATTGTCTGCTCTAGGACTGTAGTTTTCAGGATTGATTGTCTGCTCTAGGACTGCAGTTTTCAAGATTGATTGTCTGCTCTAAGACTGCAGTTTTCAGGATTGATTGTCTGCTCTAGGACTGCAGTTTTCAGGATTGATTGTCTGCTCTAGGACTGCAGTTTTCAGGATTGATATTTCAGAGGTGAGATTCTGTATGCAAAAATCCCATTATGTCATGCCCTCTGACAGCTATGTAGTAAAGTGGTCTTTTATTTTAAAGTTGTTTTGTTTTCCCTCCAGTGTTACAGTCTGTGGGATCATGTCCTCATGGAGGTACAAATCTGTGAAATCTCAAACAGGTACAAATCTGTGAAACACCATTCGGCTGTTCAGCCATATAGCACAGTTATATGGGGACATAACTAAGGAAGAGGCTACAGAGTAACTTGCAGTCCAGTATGGGTAGATATCCCATTCAGCTGTTTGTGGAGTTATTTCGGTGCCCCCAGAGGGTTACAGCATACTCTAAAATCCAGACTGACTGACATTTAATCCTACTAGAAATACACAATGAGTTACTAAAATCTAGTGACACAAAGTGCCAGCATTCCAATGAAAATCCCCACAGCTTTCATTATAGCATTAGTTCGTTATTTCTCTTGCATGTTCTCGTTCTGGCAAAGACATTAATCAGCTTTTTCAAAATTTAAATTAACTTTCAATATATCAAATTAAAGTGTTATCAATTTTAAACACAATTAAGTATAATTTTCCATTTGTAGCAATGCAAGAGAAAGGTGGGGCCACTCTGTCCCACAAGCTGGAGTATCAAGAGTTAACTCCCTGCCTAAAGGAGATCACCTGTGTGTGGGAGCAGATGTTGTCCTTACATGACGCAGACACAGCCGAGGAGGCAGGACAGATCTTGATGGAGAACCATGGGAAGACTATCCCTAAAACCAAGCTTCTGGAGTATGTGATGAAAGGTACGCTGCAACATCTTTCTTATTCTTTATTTGGCAAGTGTTTTTTTGTTGTTGTTGTTGCAGTTATTGTTTACATTAAAAACTCCAGAGCTGACCATCTCCCAGTGTTGAGATTTTATGGTCACCACGTATTCTCATTGGAAGACTACGTCTAAATGCTGACCACCTCTGTAAGTTGTATGTTGACTACTACTTGAACTATGGCACATAATAGTAATTTAACCTCTGAAACTTGAACAGCCAGTTTTTTTAAGAGTGGGGGGGGGGGGGGGGATGAAAAAAATCCTAACCTAAATGGTCCATGGCGACTGCACTACCCAAGTGCTTATACAGATACAGATACAATACTAATACACATACAGTGGTACTTCCATAAACATCCACTTAGGCATATGTCCAACTCGGTATGTTTTCTGTTTAGATGCGAAGAAAATGAAGAATTTTTTATGCAATTTTTTTTTTTTTAATTTTCTGAGATGAGAAAGAGAATTCTTAAAAACTATGTAAATCCTATCTTGATAAACTCAAGTGAATCATGGACATTTGATAGATTAGTGCAAAGTTATGGAAGCTGCAGAGATGTGGTATTATAGACGTATGATGAGAATATTATGGAAAGATCAAAAGAGTAATGAAGACGTCTTGAGAGAAGCTGAATCACGAAGAGAACTGATTGCCCACATCATAAAGAAACAGTCTGCATTCTTTGGTCATGTGATGAAAAAAAAAGATAATTGGAGTACATCATGACAATAGGAAAGTTGGAGGGGAGGGGAGGCAGAGAGAGACTGAGAGAACAGATGCTGGACAGTTTGACACCATGGCATGGAAGATCATCTGTGTCAGAGTTGATAAAAAGTACACGAGACAGAAGGCTGTGGATAGACATGACTACCAATGCCATACAGCATGGACTTTAATAATAATAATAAGAAGACGACCTTCATTTGCAATATGACGGTGTGCTAGAACTTGTTTCAGTCAGAATGTGTCTTGACCCTACACCCTACATTGGTTAACCTCTCTCTCTAATTACAGAAATTTTTGCCAGATGATGGATGTCAACAACTTTGAAGAAAAGTATCTCTACAAAAAAGCCCAAACAAATCATAACAGCATAGTTTGGAATGATGAGACAGTACCATATTTCTGAAACATCCTGAAGAGCAAGCTGAGGCAAAGTTCTTTGCACAGAATTTTAGGAAAAGTCAAACTTGATGAGCCTCAACCAGGTCCGTGTAGGGAGAAAAGACCCACACAAAAAAAAAACACCACACAGACAGAAAAAAAAACATACTAGAATTTGAGATTCCTGAAGTTTTATTGGATGGGGAGTCTCTTTCCAAACAATAACATCTCCTCCTCCTCCCTTCTCAGTATCATCTTATAGGCACTCAACTCTTCCCAGTATCATCTTAGTAGGCACTCAACTCTTCTCAGTATCATCTTAGTAGGCACTCAACTCTTCACAGTATCATCTTAGTAGGCACTTAACTCTTCCCAGTATCATCTTGGTAGGCACTCAACTCTTCTCAGTATCATCTTTGTAGGCACTCAACTCTTCTCAGTATCATCTTAGCAAGCACTCAACTCTTCTCAGCAAGATTAAGTGAGGTTACATTTTTTTTGTATTTCCTCTAATTGCTTGTAGTATTAAACAGTGTGTTGATTATTCTGTACAACCACATAAATCTACAATATTCAAATAACGACAAGATTTTTTCATAGGAAGGATTCTCCATGTATTTTTCTTGGGAAAATTTGTTTTGTAAACACTCAAAGATCTAGAACTGATTACGACTGTTTACCAAGGTACCACTACACTTCTATTATTAGTAGGCACTCAACTCTTCCCAGTATCATCTTAGTAGGCACTCAACTCTTCCCAGTATCATCTTAGTAGGCACTCAACTCTTCGCAGTATGATCTTAGTAGGCACTCAACTCTTCACAGTATGATCTTAGTAGGCACTTAACTCTTCTCAGTATCATCTTAGTAGGCACTCAACTCTTCCCAGTATGATCTTAGTAGGCACTCAACTCTTCACAGTATGATCTTAGTAGGCACTTAACTCTTCTCAGTATCATCTTAGTAGGCACTCAACTCTTCTCAGTATCATCTTAATAGGCACTCAACTCTTCGCAGTATCATCTTAGTAGGCACTCAACTCTTCACAGTATCATCTTAGCAAACACTCAACTCTTCCCAGTATAATCTTAGTAGGCACTCAACGGCGGCCCACTCAACTCTTCTCAGTATCATCTTAGTAGGCACTCAACTCTTCCCAGTATCATCTTAGTAGGCACTCAACTCTTCTCAGTATCATCTTAGTAGGCACTCAACGGCGGCCCACTCAACTCTTCTCAGTATCATCTTAGTAGGCACTCAACTCTTCACAGTATCATCTTAGTAGGCACTCAACTCTTCTCAGTATCATCTTTGTAGGCACTCAACTCTTCCCAGTATCATCTTAGTAGGCACTCAACTCTTCTTAGCATCATCTAGTAGGCACTCAACTCTTCCTCAGTATCATCTTAGTAGGCACTCAACTCTTCTCAGTATCATTTTAGTAGGCACTCAACTCTTCTCAGTATCATCTTAGTAGGCACTCAACTCTTCTCAGTATCATTTTAGTAGGCACTCAACTCCTCTCAGTATCATCTTAGTAGGCACTCAACTCTTCTCAGTATCATCTTAGTAGGCACACAACTCTTCTCAGTATCATCTTAGTAGGCACTCAACTCTTCTCAGTATCATCTTAGTAGGCACTCAACTCTTCTCAGTATCATCTTAGTAGGCACTCAACCCTTCCCAGTATCATCTTAGTAGGCACTCAACTCTTCTCAGTATCATCTTAGTAGGCACTCAACTCTTCCCAGTATCATCTTAGTAGGCACTCAACTCTTCACAGTATCATCTTAGTAGGCACTCAACTCTTCACAGTATCATCTTAGTAGGCACTCAACTCTTCTCAGTATCATCTTAGTAGGCACTCAACTCTTCACAGTATCATCTTAGTAGGCACTCAACTCTTCCCAGTATCATCTTAGTAGGCACTCAACTCTTCTCAGTATCATCTTAGTAGGCACTCAACTCTTCTCAGTATCATCTTAGTAGGCACTCAACTCTTCTCAGTATCATCTTAGTAGGCACTCAACTCTTCTCAGTATCATCTTAGTAGGCACTCAACTCTTCTCAGTATCATCTTAGTAGGCACTCAACTCTTCTCAGTATCATCTTAGTAGGCACTCAACTCTTCTCAGTATCATCTTAGTAGGCACTCAACTCTTCCCAGTATCATCTTAGTAGGCACTCAACTCTTCTCAGTATCATCTTTGTAGGCACTCAATTCTTCTCAGTATCATCTTAGCAGGCACTCAACTCTTCTCAGCAAGATTAAGTGAGGTTACATTTTTTTTTATTTCCTCTAATTGCTTGTAGTATTAAGCAGTGTGTTGATTATTCTGTACAACCACATAAATCTACAATATTCAAATAATGACAAGATTTTTTCATAGGAAGGATTCTCCATGTATTTTTCTTGGGAAAATTTGTTTTGTAAACACTCAAAGATCTAGAACTGATAACGACTGTTTACCAAGGTACCACTACACTTCTATTATTAGTAGGCACTCAACTCTTCCCAGTATCATCTTAGTAGGCACTCAACTCTTCCCAGTATCATCTTAGTAGGCACTCAACTCTTCCCAGTATGATCTTAGTAGGCACTCAACTCTTCACAGTATGATCTTAGTAGGCACTTAACTCTTCTCAGTATCATCTTAGTAGGCACTCAACTCTTCTCAGTATCATCTTAATAGGCACTCAACTCTTCGCAGTATCATCTTAGTAGGCACTCAACTCTTCACAGTATCATCTTAGCAAACACTCAACTCTTCCCAGTATCATCTTAGTAGGCACTCAACGGCGGCCCACTCAACTCTTTCTCAGTATCATCTTAGTAGGCACTAGTATTAAACTCTTCCCAGTATCATCTTAGTAGGCACTCAACTCTTCTCAGTATCATCTTAGTAGGCACTCAACGGCGGCCCACTCAACTCTTCTCAGTATCATCTTAGTAGGCACTCAACTCTTCACAGTATCATCTTAGTAGGCACTCAACTCTTCTCAGTATCATCTTAGTAGGCACTCAACTCTTCCCAGTATCATCTTAGTAGGCACTCAACTCTTCCCAGTATCATCTTAGTAGGCACTCAACTCTTCCCAGTATCATCTTAGTAGGCACTCAACTCTTCCCAGTATAATCTTAGTAGGCACTCAACTCTTCTCAGTATCATCTTAGTAGGCACTCAACTCTTCTCAGTATCATCTTAGTAGGCACTCAACTCTTCCCAGTATCATCTTAGTAGGCACTCAACTCTTCACAGTATCATCTTAGTAGGCACTCAACTCTTCCCAGTATCATCTTTGTAGGCACTCAACTCTTCCCAGTATCATCTTAGTAGGCACTCAACTCTTCTTAGTATCATCTTAGTAGGCACTCAACTCTTCCCAGTATCATCTTAGTAGGCACTCAACTCTTCCCAGTATCATCTTAGTAGGCACTCAACGGCGGCCCACTCAACTCTTCTCAGTATCATCTTAGTAGGCACTCAACTCTTCCCAGTATCATCTTAGTAGGCACTCAACTCTTCTCAGTATCATCTTAGTAGGCACTCAACTCTTCTCAGTATCATCTTAGTAGGCACTCAACTCTTCCCAGTATCATCTTAGCAGGCACTCAACTCTTCTCAGCAAGATTAAGTGAGGTTACATTTTTATTTATTTCCTCTAATTGCTTGTAGTATTAAGCAGTGTGTTGATTATTCTGTACAACCACATAAATCTACAATATTCAAATAACAACAAGATTTTTTCATAGGAAGAATTCTCCATGTATTTTTCTTGGGAAAATCTGTTTTGTAAACACTCAAAGATCTAGAACTGATTACCACTGTTTACCAAGGTACCACTACACTTCTATTATTACAAGTACTTATACCAGTTCAAGCATTTCATACCCTGATTATTGAAACTGCCTGAATGTTCGTCATCAACCCATAACCCTGCATGTCACTGGGTCACCAGTTGCTGTTCATAGTCTGATCAGCTCACTCCACATGTCACGATGAGTTGCAATGGACTTCATGGTTGCATGCTTTAAGGCCTGTCCAGTCAGTCACGTTCTGTATCCAGGTCGTTCTTGGTCTGCCTCTTCCCCTCTACTGAGCCCTGCAGTATTGTTTTTGAGAGGCCATTAGATCTTATTACATGTTCCTAAGATTGCATTTTCCGTCATTTCACTGTAGTTAAAAGAGAGTCATAGTTGTCAGTGTGCTGGGCAATTATATAGTAAACCTCATCATTTGTGATGTGGTCTCTGTACGATATGCCAAAAATGTTTTGAAAAGATTTCATTTCTAGTGCTTGTATCTTCCTTTCAAGTCCAGCTGTTAAGGTCCACACGTCACAGCCATTTGTAAATGTACTAGTAGCTGGTGTTCTCAGCAGCCATCACTTAGTTTGACATGAAATGTTTGAATGTGAATGTTTTCTGTCACTGACAGGTGTGCCGCGAACTTTACGAGGTCAAGTCTGGCTACTGCTCATGCAGCAACAACAGATTCGAACTGCAGTGCCTGACAAAGCTCATGAGAGTGCTAACTATGAGGATCTGCTCAAACAGTTAACCACTCACCAACATGCAATACTGATAGATCTTGGTTCGTGTTTCTTGTGTGTTCCATTGTTTGCTCTCCTGTACATTACTTTCTTTTTTGTTTCTGTTTTTGTCATCTCAATGATACCCGGTTGTAGCCCAGTGTCGTGGTTTTCTGTATTTGTCTTGTGCTTCTTGGGTGATGGATTTATGCATCTTTTTGTAGGTTTCTGCTTCAGCATTTATTCGTCACTTTTTTGGTCTTCCTCTCGCCTTCCTCCCCGATGTTCTGCTGTAGAAAGTCATATGCAGTTTGTTCTGGCTGTACATATTCTGCACATTATCATCAGTTTTTAATTTGTTTTCTGCGAGATGTTTTTTTTTTTTGCAGCACACCCCCAGTAGACACCATAGTAACAATGTTTTATTATGTTATCACAGTCAACATCGGTGCATGTTGGGCATTCCCACGCGTGCACAGTCCTCCATCGCAGCAGACACTCCAAGGTACCTCTACTGACTGTTTCTATGAGGAGCTGGTTATAATGTCTCCTGCCTCAGCCTCAAAGATGTTGTAGACGGGCTTTACCATTCTTTACTCCCAGGTCACACAGTCTTGTTACTTTCAGAAGACCATCATTATCCACTAGCCCAATCCAAACAGCGTTGAAAATATCTGCTCTGTCCATGCCTCTTCCCAAGTACATTGCTTGCCAGTTGGTTGCTCACTCATCGCCTTTTATGCCAGCATGACGAGATGTTTAGATCCAGGTGTGGGAAGCTAAAGTGCGGTTTTGAAAAGCTTTCAACCAGTTTACCATACACTGGCTGTTGTGATTTTCTGAAGACGTTTTCAGTAGATGCAAACATGGTCAAGGGGAGACAATCTCTGTTTTCATAGTCAACAGGGGACAATCTCTGTTTTCATAGTCAACAGGGGACAATCTCTGTACACGTGGTCAACAGGGGACAATCTCTGTACACATGGTCAATGGGAGGCAATGTCTGTACACATGGTCAATGGGAGGCAATGTCTGTACACATGGTCAATGGGAGGCAATGTCTGTACACATGGTCAATGGGAGGCAATGTCTGTACACATGGTCAATGGGAGGCAATGTCTGTACACATGGTCAAAAGGGGACAATCTCTGTACACATGGTCAACAGGGGATGATATTTATACAGACAGTCAACACGAGACTATCTCTGATTTGACGTATTTGCTGTCATCATGGCAGAACACTATTTTGGGTTTGACCGGACAAGACTTGCAGAGGTAAGCCAGGGAAGCTGGAGTGCTCATCAATGTGCAAAGTCAATGATGATGAAGACAAAAGGAGGTTTGACGATGCTAAGGTTACTGGCTGGGATAAACTGCGAGCAGCGCCACTTATTTTTCTATTACTAGGGTCTGATCCCTTCTGTAACTGAGTACGCTCTGGCGATTCTGACTCTTAGCCGTAGACAGTTAGAGAGACTAGATTGGATGCAGAATGAGGCCATGTGCATCATACTTGGATGCTCAAAGAATACAGCATGTACGTCTGTTCGTTACCTCCTTGATCTTCCAATCATGGAAGTGAGAAGCAGTGATCTGCCGAGCACGTGCGTATCAGCCTATCAGTGCTGATACATACCATCCATTGCACTTTGAGATTCACAGGAGGAAGGGTAGCAGGTTCAAAAGAGGAAAATCCTGTGTGGGTCAGGCTGAGGACATTTGTCAGCAAGTTTGTTTAACTGAGGACATAGAACCTGGTGACGAATGGGTATGAGATCCAGCAGAGTGGTGTACATCCTTTTCAGTCTTGCATAAAACTGGATAGAGAATGCAGACAACAAGGTCCACTGGTGGTTGAAGGAGAAGTTCAAGCTTTAATTCTGCTGACGTAGGTGTAGTTATCTACACTGACAGATCCATCGTTCGACACGTACAAAGCTCATTGGCTTTCATGGTTCTTGGCAGTTCTCTTTTAAAGGAAAACTGTAAAAGAAAATAGCGGAGCTTTTGCCTCAACTACAAGTAGTCTGACTATGGAGATGATGGCGACAACAAAACTGATGATGTGGCTTGAGACAGGAGTTTCCCCATGCATGTTTTCTATGTGATTGCATGAGCATGCTTAAGAGGATAGAGACAAGATGGTTGGAGTCACTGAAGAAATCTGGTCTGCTAGGAATCAGTTTCATTTTTGTGCTTAGACACTCTGGGGTCATAGGGAATGACCGAGCCGATTGGCTTACTGGCAGGGTCATAGTAGGTACAGGAAAAGCAATGGACCAGGCCAGCAATGTCAATGCTCTCAGTGCTTTGATTCAGGAGACGACAGTGAGTCGGCAACACTGAAAAGATTACAAGATCTTCAGGTCAAAAGAGGTGTCGCCAAACATAATTGCTTTACGGGTAGCCAAAGAAGAATATTAAACCAACATAGAACTGGTGTTATCAGTCACCAGATGCTGGGAGACACACTGAAGGTGGGATCTAAGCACTTATGGGCTTGCCTGATGTGCATTGAGGATAATCTGTTGATTAACTTACTAACTAACTACCTCTGTACACATGTCCAACATGAGACTATCTCTGTACACATGTCCAACATGAGAACTTTCTCTGTACACAAGTCCAACATGAGAACTTTCTCTGTACACAAGTCCAACATGAGACTATCTCTGTACACATGTCCAACATGAGAACTTTCTCTGTACACATGTCCAACATGAGAACTTTCTCTGTACACATGTCCAACATGAGACTATCTCTGTACACAAGTCCAACATGAGACTATCTCTGTACACATGTCCAACATGAGAACTTTCTCTGTACACATGTCCAACATGAGGCTATCTCTGTACACATGTCCGACATGAGAACTTTCTCTGTAGCTATGTCCAACTGAGGCTAGCTAGCTTGTACTACATGTCCAACATGACTAACTTTCTCTGTAACAATGTCCAACATGAGAAACTCTGTGTACACTAACCAACATAAGAACTTTAGCTAGTACACATAACTAACTGACTACTATTTCTGTACACAAGTCCAACATGAGACTATCTCTGTACACAAGTCCAACATGAGACTATCTCTGTACACATGTCCAACATGAGAATATCTCTGTACACAAGTTCAACATGAGACTATCTCTGTACACATAACCAACTAACTAATAACTGTGTACACAGTAACTAACATGAGACTATCTCTGTACACATGTCCAACATGAGAATATCTGTGTACACAAGTCCAACATGAGACTATCTCTGTACACAAGTCCAACATGAGAATATCTCTGTACACAAGTCCAACATGAGACTATCTCTGTACACATGTCCAACATGAGACTGTCTCTGTACACAAGTCCAACATGAGACTATCTCTGTACACACGTCCAACATGACACTGTCTCCTTCCTTAGGTCGCACTTTCCCCAACCACCCGTACTTCTCCAAACCTCTGGGACCTGGTCAGCTGGAGCTGTTCAACCTTCTCAAGGCCTACAGTCTTCTGGACAAGGAAGTTGGCTACTGCCAGGGACTGTCCTTCATTGTTGGAATGTTGCTCATGCATGTGAGACACCTGTACTTGTGTTAGTCTCAATGAAATGTACAGTGTGCCAGTGTGAGTGGATGCAGGGTGTACAAGTTTGAGTGAAGATAGAAAGTACTAGCTTGAATGGATGTAGAGCGTATTGGTTTGCGCAAATGGGGAATGTACCAATAGTCTGAGGGAACATAGAATTTTCTAGTCTGAGTGAATGTAGAATGTACTAGCCTGAGTAAACATAGAATGTTCTAGTTTGAGGGACTGTAGATGTTCTAGTTTGAATAAACACAGACTGTTCTATTTTGAGTGAACATAGAATGTTCTAATTTGAGTGAACATAGAATGTACTAGCCTGAGTGAGCATAGAATGTTCTTATTTAAGTGAATGAAGAATGTTCTTGTTTGAGTGTTCACAGAATGTACTAGTTTGGGTGAACACAGAATATTCTAGTTTGAGGTAACATAGAATGTTCTGGTGTGAGTGAATGTAGAATGTACTAGTAGAATGTTCTTTTTTTTAAGTGAACATAGAATGTTCTAGTTAAAGTATATATAATGTGCTTGTCTGAATGGATGAAGAATGTACTAGTTTCATTGAATGTAAAGTATACCAGTGTGTGTGAATATAGAGTATTCTAGTTGAATAAATGTAGATTTTGCTGGTTTGAGTGACATTTATATATTTATCACTTAAAATAACATGTGCAACAATTGTGGTTTTCAGATGGAGGAGATTTCTGCTTTCCATGTCTTGAAATATTTGATGTATGACCTTGGCCTTCGTCAACAGTACAGACCAAATATGAAAGCACTACAGGTAACCAATCCTCAGTCCTTGTCTTGCTCAAGTTGTGTCTGTTGTATCCAATCTCTTGCTCAAGTTGTGTCTGTTGTATCCAGTCTCTAGCTGTTGTATCCAATCTCTAGCTGTTGTATTCAGTCTCTAGCTGTTGTATCCAATCTCTAGCTGTTGTATTCAATCTCTAGCTGTTGTATCCAGTCTCTAGATGTTGTATTCAATCTCTAGCTGTTGTATCCAGTCTCTAGATGTTGTATCCAGTCTCTAGCTGTTGTATTCAGTCTCTAGCTGTTGTATCCAATCTCTAGCTGTTGTATCCAATCTCTAGCTGTTGTATCCAATCTCTAGCTGTTGTATTCAATCTCTAGCTGTTGTATCCAATCTCTAGCTGTTGTATTCAGTCTCTAGCTGTTGTATCCAGTCTCTAGCTGTTGTATTCAATCTCTAGCTGTTGTATTCAGTCTCTAGCTGTTGTATCCAATCTCTAGCTGTTGTATCCAATCTCTAGCTGTTGTATCCAATCTCTAGCTGTTGTATTCAGTCTCTAGCTGTTGTATCCAATCTCTAGCTGTTGTATCCAGTCTCTAGTTCAAGTTGTGTCTGTTGTATCCAGTTTCTAGCTCAAGTTGTGTCTGTTGTATCCAGTCTCTAGTTCAAGTTGTGTCTGTTGTATCCAGTCTCTAGCTCAAGTTGTGTCTGTTGTATCCAGTCTCTAGTTCAAGTTGTGTCTGTTGTATCCAATCTCTAGTTCAGGTTGTGTCTGTTGTATCCAGTCTCCATCTGTACCTAAAGTTGTCCCTGTTGTAAACCATCGGTACCTAAAGTTATCTCTGTTGTACTCCATCTGTACTTAAAGTTGTTGCCCTTGTACTCCATCTGTACTTAAAGTTGTTGCCTTTGTACTCCATCTGTACCTAAAGTTGTCCCTGTTGTACTCCATCTGCACTTAAAAGTTGTTGCCTTTGTACTTCATCTGTACCTAAAGCTGTCTCTGTTGTACTCTGCACCTAAAGTTGTCCCTGTTGTACTCCATCTGTACTTAAAGTTGTTGCCTTTGTACTCCATCTGTACCTAAAGTTGTCCCTGTTGTACTCCATCTGTACTCAGAGTTATTGCCCTTGTACTCCATCTGTACTCAGAGTTATTGCCCTTGTACTCCATCTGTACCTAACATTGTACCTGTTGAACTCCATCTTCATCTAAAGTTGCATGAATTTTCTTCCATCTAAAGCTGAAGTTGTACCAGCTCACTCGCCTACTTCATGACCGCTACAAGGATGTCTACGATCACCTTGAGGACCACGAGATTTCACCTACCCTGTATGCTGCCCCCTGGTTCCTCACAATGTTTGCCTCGCAGTTTCCTCTTGGCTTTGTTGCCAGAGTTTTTGGTAAGTTCATCCTTCAGGTAATAACCATTTAACTGTAGTCAGAAACGAATTAAGTTCTTTAGTCGAGGTATCACCGTATATTTTGATCAGAACGCAATGGCTGATGTGATTATTATTATACCAGCTGCCTTTATTTCCCAAGTGTGCTGTTTGGCTCGTTCTACTTGCTGAAAATTATAGTTGGCACCAACAAGCTGAAGAGTCTGGACTGATGAAAGTACATTCAGAACACGATGATAGCATTGATATTGTATATTGTGGCACAGCAATAAGTCATTTTGTCGATGTCTACAGTTCTCCCTAGTCAGTGACACGGGCTCATGTGTGCTCATGACTGACTACCACGTCAGGAGGACTGTTAAATAATTGGTGCAGTTGCCGTTGGCAACTGCCAGTCAGAACATTTAATTCGCTTGAGTATTGGCACCTTAACTCTTTGAGTCCCAGGGGCATCACAGGCCCAAGGGGTAGTCAAGAAAGACGGGAAATCGGCGCATCTTGCGTTCATTGGGCTTCTAGATAGGAATTATGTAAGTATAATGCGTTTCTTGGGACTCAAAGAGTTAATCACGATGACACTGAAGTTCTCAGACACAAGATGTGGTCATTCAGAATCAATTCTCCTCAGGGATTCGAGCTATCAAATGATGTTCCTTCAGTTCACAATGACGTTTACCTCAGTCGTGCCATCAAACAACCTACCTCTCACACAGTCAAACCACAACTGACTCTACACCCTCTTTCCGTTCAAAACGTTCATTCCAATCTCATGCATTTCCTTTCCCCCTGTTCACAGAACCCCGGTCTTCAGGACACTCGTTTTCCCTCTTGTCCCCTCAATTGGAAAACTCTCTGGAGTTTCTCTGGGAATTCACCTCATTACACAGGATATTACCTGGTATATATTTTAGTCTTTTAATATAATCACAGTCGGCATCTGTGGCTTAGGCGTTGCGAACGTGCTTCGTAATGCCAGGTTCGATCCCTGCTGAGGACGATTTCTCTTGCGATGGTTTCGACCGTGGTACTGAGAGCCGACCGTCCAGAAAGCAATGGCAAACTACTGGACGTAAATTTGCCTAGAAAAACCACAACAGCCAGAAAGTGCTGGGGTTAGTTCTGCAACGTCCTGTAAAGGATACGCAACTAATGTAAATTTAAATATAACCACAGTATGTCACTTGCCCCTTTTTTAATTGTTGTAAACTTGCGATTTTTTTTGTTACTGTAAAATCAGAAATTATAATTGTTATAATAATTACCTTCTGTGTTAGTAGAGAGTTATCTTTCTTGTTCTTGCAGACATGGTGTTTATACAAGGCATAGATGCCCTCTTTAAGGTGGCCTTGACACTCATAGGTAGTCACCGTGCCCTGATGCTACAGTGCTCCTCATTCGAATCCATTGTGGATTTTCTGAAGGTCACGCTGCCAGAAATGGTGCAGGTGCAGATGGAGAGAATCATTAACCAGGTAATCAGTTAATGAGCACCAGGCTTAGCTCCTAAAGTGTCAAACATGGCCGAATATGTGGCTGTATATAGTTCATGAGCACCAATCAGCATGCTTTATTTTTTGTATATTTTACAGTAAGCCAAGATATATTCCAGCAACATAGTATATGTGTGCCGTATGTCTTCTTCTTCTTCGCGTTCACCAGCTGTACACTCTGGCGGAAAGTTCTGGTTGCTCGTCCACTACTGAACTGCAGTCCTGCTCCAGAACCTGAGTGTTGCGTGTGCATCAGTTTTACAGATCTCATTCTCTTGAATACAGACTGTTGGTTCCTTGCCTCTCCGGCAGATGCACTCCGACTTCAAAGGAAGCTCCCCAATTAGTCGACTCTTACGACATGCTTTTGGGGAGGCAGTGGGTCTATTCTTGTTTTCCCCACAATGGGGCCCCGGAACCCACACGGGGGTGCGCCGTATGTGTCACCCATGTGAGTGTATGAGACTGTAATATGATTTTATTGTTTACAGTAATGTTTCCCTGGGGCTGAAAGAAAATACATAACATGTGTTACGACATCTAGGTTAAATATATGATGTTTGTTGTGCAGTTAGTAGACATAAGGACATCCTCTATGGTGAATTACAGATGGGTAGAAGATGTCGAGACTGACCTGTACTACGGTATAAAGATGTGTGCAAGCAGGATATGAATGCTACAGGTATTGAGGTGGACTTGTGGGAACAAAATGCTGTGGACTGTGTGTATGGAAGGGGCACATCAGGAAGGAATGAGAGTGAAGGAAGAAATGATTGCAGAAAAGATGAGAGCTGAGTGTCTGAGAAGAAACAAACATAACGGTCCTGAAATTCTCTGCTCTAGCTGTGAAAGGCTTTTCTTAACGCTGGCGGGCCTTGCTAGTCACACTCACCCTCGCCACGGGCTGTGAGTCTCATGTCTCCTCATAGCGCAATATAACACAATTGTCTGGAAAGACAGAAAGGTGCCTGTCGAATTAAGAGACATGACATCTCATTATTTTCAAAATTATTTGCATTATTTTCTTTCTCAGTCCATATAAATCAATAGGCCAGATAAGTTTATTGGTTATTCATTCGTGGTTCAACATTGCATGTAACTGAATATAAAGTAAAAATAGCACACTAGCACTTCCTTTACGATAGGGTAAGCATCTGTTAGCCACCTTTACCTCGCAGGATGCAACTCCATATCCATATTAGGCCAAAGTTCACCTGGGGGTCAAGATTAATTTTGAAAATAAAAAACGTCTGAATTGATGCAGATTTGAGCACAAGACGTTCAGGATGAAGGAAGATCGTCTAGCCACTGCACTACTATAGCTCTCTAACAGTGAAATATAAGAATATATAACATTAACATCTACATGCACTGACTCCTTCTGATTGAAATTTTGTCTGTTCTTGTAATGAGACACTGGTACTGCACATTGCTGCATAGTTCTTCCAAGACCATACAATTTCATGTTTTAATATTTCTCACATGTATTTTTTTTTTGTTAAGTCTTCCCCCTCCAGATTTGTATTTTATAGGAGTAACATCTGAAGTAGGAGAATCACACAGCTACAAATCTGGGAAGACACCGTTCAACCAAATAGCACAGTTATATTGTTACACCACAGGAGAGCCTGTGTAGAACCTCCATCCTCCGAGAAGTCTCAGCCATGGGCTTAAAAAACATCCAAGACCTAAAACAAGTGTCAGCGAACCACAAGACCTGGAGAGCTATGACCCATGCCCTATGTGCCACCTTAGGCTCAAGAGAAAAGACTAACTAACTAACTAACGAACGAACGAACGAATGAGTGAGCGAGCGAGCGAACGAATGAACGAACGAATGAACGAATGATCAAATGTATGAACGAACGAACGAACGAACAAACTAACTAACTAAGCAACTAACTAACTAACTAACTAACTAACGAACGAACGAATGAGTGAGCGAGCGAGCGAACGAATGAACGAACGAATGAACGAATGATCAAACGTATGAACGAACGAACGAACAAACTAACTAACTAAGTAACTAACTAACTAACTAACTAACTAACTAACGAACGAACGAACGAATGAATGAACGAACAAACGAACGAGTGAGCAAGCGAGTGAACGAATGAACGAATGAACGAATGAATAAATGAACGAACGTACTAACGAACGAACTAACTAACTAACTAAGCAACTAAGTAACTAACTAACTAACTAACTAACTGACTGACTGACTGACTGACTAACTGACTAACTAACCACACTAAAATTACCAAGTTATATGTAGTCCAGTGTCAGTGGGTTATGTGCACTTTCATTCTCAAAATTTGTTCTAGGCTTTTGAGCTGGACATCGACAGGGAGCTACAGGCCTACCAGGTAGAGTACCAGGTGCTCAGTGAAGAGATGGCCTATCCTTCCCCACAGCCTCACTACTACTCACAACTTGAGGAAGAGAACCAACGTCAACGTGAACAAGGGGAAGACACACCATCACCACCCACTCGCAGAAGTACTCCCAGGAATTCTGCATTGCTGCAGAGGAGACGATCCTCAGCTGATGTTGAACTGATATATCAGCTGGAGAACCAGAACCGGGCACTTAACAACCAGAATACAGAAATGTCTGAGAAGCTGCAGGTGAGTCAGCTGTCTTCATAATTGTTATCATTTTTACTGTGATTAATTTTATATGCAGTTGTTTGTTTGTGGTTTATGCCGTTGTTTGTGTGGGATTTATGCAGATGTTTCTATATGGTTTATGCAGTTGTTTCTATATGGTTTATGCAGTTGTTTCTATATGGTTTATGCAGTTGTTTATGTGTGTGGTTTTGCAGTTGTTTGTGTGTGTGGTTTTGTAGTTGTTTGTTTGTAGTTTATGCCATTGTTTGTGTGGGATTTATATAGCTGTTTGTGTGTGGTTTATGCAGTTGTTTTTGTGTGGTTTATGCAGCTGTTTCTATGTGGTTTATGCAGTTGTTTCTATGTGGTTTATGCAGTTGTTTCTATGTGGTTTATTCAGTTGTTTCTACGTGGTTTATGCAGTTGTTTCTATGTGGTTTATGCAGTTGTTTCTGTGTGGTTTATGCAGTTGTTTCTACGTGGTTTATGCAGTTGTTTCTATGTGGTTTATTCAGTTGTTTCTACGTGGTTTATGCAGTTGTCTGTGTGTGTAGTTAGAACAAGAATTATGGCATGCTGCATAGAGCTAATGTACCATATGGCTGCGAATCCTGGACAATTAATAAACAAGACAAACAATCTCTTTGGGTCTCAGAGACGGGGTTTTACAGAGGAATGCTCAAAATTCCCTGGACGGTCAGAATAAGTAACTCTGATGTTTTGAAAAAGATGACGGCAAAAGATATTCAGTTTTGGCACACCCCTAATTAATTATTTTTTACCCTATGCTTCTTAGAGGCAGTAGGTGTGTTATTTCTCCCCCCCCCCTCCTTCCCCGCCCAAATGGGTCACATATTACATATACTCGTAATATCAAATTTGACTTTTCTTTCTTCTTTTTTTTTAATTGTGTGTCTTTTTGTTCACCAACTGTGAACTTCAGTGGATAGTCCTGAGTCCTGGTTGTTTGTCCATTTAGTCATTGGCTTTGTACATTATTGCATGTACATAATTTTGGATGTACATAATTTTGCATGTAGATCCATTTTACTGTCTTATATTGTGTGCAGACCTTGTTTCCAGCCTCTCAGACAGAAATAATCTAACTTGGAAGGAGTTTGACTTCATGCGTCAGTGTTTGATTTTGTGTATAACAAAATATAATAATTATGAAATAGATTGAACAAAAATATTACATTACAGTAAAAATATAATCATGCAACAGTATCATACAATCAGGTATCATCTTATGGCAAATTATTGTATCGATTATTTTGTGTTCTTGCCTTTCATAACATAGGGTTGATTTGATTTAATTTGATTTGATTCAAGAACTGACATCACAGCACTTCAGGGCATTCCCATAAGCGCTCCGTCCCCATCTTCAGCAGCCAGTGAAGAGTTCTGATACTAATGGTGCCAGTATGATTAAACGTCCGTCTTGCCTTTCCTCTGAGCCTCGAGCTTCTGACAGAACCTCTCATCACTCCCCGCTGCATCAATCTCACCAGACTGTGGTGATCCATCTGCTCCTCCGAACTGTACACGCTCTCCCACAAGGCACTATATATAACATAAGGGTACATTAGCAGTGTCTGCTGTTTTTTATCATATTCTACAAGAGTTTACAAGTTGGGCAAACTTTTCAGTTTTTGGTGTTGGAAAATTTTGGCTTAGATTAATTGGCTTGTTTTACTGATTCTGATTAATTTTGTGAACTTTTCTTCTTCTTCTTCTCTTCCACCTTTTACCTCATCAAAGTGTCGGGGGGGAGATGCAATATTTTGTGTACTAAGTGAATAATTTCTTATACTCATGATACCCTGCATTTTTTTTTTTCTGAAATAGGAGGCTCAATCTGAAAGAAGAAGTTGTGAGCTCAGTCTGGTCACCCAGCAAATTGAGATGGACAAACTCAAGTCCCAAATCCGAGCACTGGAGCTGGAACGTGCAGCTCTGCTGACAACTGTTGCTAAACTGAAGAAACTGGTCCCCCGTGAAGTTCTACAGCGGGCTCGTCCATCTCTAACAACCGCATCCTCAGCTGCTCCACAAAGCCCACATGCTAACAGTCTTGGACATGCAGATGACCACACACACAGGGAGCTAAGTACAACTGTCAGTCTGGACTTGTTAGCAAGTGGCCAGAAATTGTCTTTCCCTGACATTGAATCTCAAGCTGGTGATGATTCTTCTGTGTGTTTGACATTTGCAGATTCAGCAACTTTAAATACTTCCCAAATAAAGGAGTTGCATCAGAGAAAACAAGAGGTAAACCTTGAGAATTATAGGGGAAAACTTTCCTCAAGCCATGAAGTTATCAATAATGAACATTCTCAAGCCATTCATAAACATCCTTCCTCAGGTCTGACCACAACTACACCACGCTGCACACACACAGCATCATCATCATCTTCACCATCAGCACATTTATTAAATCAGGAAGACGTATATAAACAATGGACAAAGCAATCTATTGCTGAGCCATGAAGCCACAGACATCAACATCATGTGCTACAGATTTGTCCTCCCATGAATCTCTGCAACAAAGACATCCCTCTGCTGAAGCTCTAACTCCTGGAGACATAAGGGAACCAGTGAAACTGTCAACACATCAGCCGCACAATCTATCTCCTGGAGACATAAGGGAACTGGTGAAACTGTCAATACATCAGCCACACAGTCTATCACCTGGAGACATAAGGGAACCGGTGAAACTGTCAACACATCAGCCACACAATCTATCTCCAGGAGACATAAGGGAACTGGTGAAACTGTCAACACATCAGCCACACAATCTATCTCCTGGAGACATAAGGGAACCGGTGAAACTGTCAACACATCAGCCACACAGTCTATCACCTGGAGACATAAGGGAACCAGTGAAACTGTCAACACATCAGTCACAGTCTATCTCCTGGAGACATAAGGGAACAGGTGAAACAGTCAACACATCAGCCACTGTCATCATAAAATTCTAACAGTTTTAGGGAGTTCTCAAGAACAACACACTTTTTATAAAGTTCTCAGCTGTAATAGATAGTTACATCAAGTTCTCAACTATAATAGTTGCATCAAGTTCTCAACTATAATAGATGGCTGCATCAAGTTCTCAACTATAATAGATAGATGCATCAAGTTCTCAACTATAATAGATAGTTGCATCAAGTTCTCAATTATAATAGATAGTTGCATCAAGTTATCAACTATAATATATAGTTGCATCAAGTTCTCAACTATAATGGATAGTTGCTTCAAGTTCTCAACTATAATAGATTGTTGCATCAAGTTCTCAACTGTAATTGTTAGTTGCATCAAGTTCTCAACTAAAATAGATGGTTGCATCAAGTTCTCAACTATAGTAGGTCTTTGCATCAAGTTCGCAACTATAATAGATGGTTGCATTGGGTTTGCAAGGATAATAAATAGTATTTTGAAGTTCTCAAAGATAATACTTGTTTTTTCGGCAGGCTAGTAGCACATACAGAAGCACACACAGCAGCACACACAGCAGCACATACAGCAGCACATACAGCAGCACATACAGAAGCAAATACAGCAGCACATACAGCAGCACATAAGTAGCACATACATTAGCAATTACAGAAGCACATACAGTAGCACATACAGCAGCACATACAGTAGCAAATACAGCAGCACATACAGCAACACATACAGCAGCACATTCAGAAGCACATACAGTAGCACATACAGTAGCACATACAGTAGCACATAAAGCAGCACATACAGCAGCACATACAGTAGCACATACAGCAGCACCTACAGTAGCACATACAGAAGCAAATACAGCAGCACATACAATAGCACATACAGCAGCACATACAGTAGCACATACAGAAGCACATACAGCAGCACATACAGCAGCACATACAGTAGCACATACAGCAGCACATACAGTAGCACATACAGTAGCACATACAGTAGCACATACAGTAGCACATACAGTAGCACATACAGCAGCACATACAGTAGCACATACAGCAGTACGTACAGCAGCACATACAGTAGCACATACAGAAGCACATACAGCAGCACATACAGCAGCACATACAGTAGCACATACAGCAGCACCTACAGTAGCACATACAGAAGCAAATACAGCAGCACATACAATAGCACATACAGCAGCACATACAGTAGCACATACAGAAGCACATACAGCAGCACCTACAGTAGCACATACAGAAGCAAATACAGCAGCACAAGTTCTCAACTATAGTGGGTCTTTGCATCAAGTTCGCAACTATAATAGATGGTTGCATTGGGTTTGCAAGGATAATAAATAGTATTTTGAAGTTCTCAAAGATAATACTTGTTTTTTCGGCAGGCTAGTAGCACATACAGAAGCACACACAGCAGCACACACACAGCAGCACATACAGCAGCACATACAGCAGCACATACAGAAGCCACATACATAGCACATACAGCAGCACATAAGTAGCACATACATTAGCACATACAGAAGCACATACAGTAGCACATAGCACATACAGTACAGTACAAGCACATACAGCAGCACATACAGCACCACATACAGCAGCACATTCAGAAGCACATACAGTAGCACATACAGTAGCACATACAGCAGCACATAAAGCAGGCACATAGCAGCAGCACATACAGTAGCACATACAGCAGCACCTACAGTAGCACAATACAGCAGCACATACAGCAGCACATACAGCACATACACATACATACAGTAGCACATATACACATACAGCACACATACAGCAGCACATATACACATACAGCACATACAGTAGCACATACAGTAGCAGCACATAGCACTACAGCACATACAGCTAGCACATACAGCAGCACATACAGTAGCACATACAGCAGCAGCAGCAACATACAGTAGCCATACAGTAGCACATACAGCAGCACATACAGCAGCACATACAGTAGCACATACAGTAGCACATACAGTAGCACATACAGAAGCAGCAATACAGTAGCACATACACAGCACATACAGCAGCACATACAGCAGCACATACAGCAAGCACATACACAGCAGCACATACAGCAGCACATACAGTAGCACATACAGTAGCACATACAGTAGCACATACAGTAGCACATACAGCAGCACATACAGCAGCACATACAGCAGCACATACAGCAGCACATACAGTAGCACATACAGTAGCACATACAGCAGCACATACAGCAGCACATACAGTAGCACATACAGCAGCACATACAGCAGCACATACAGTAGCACATACAGTAGGCACATACATAGCCACATACAGTAGCACATACAGTAGCACATACAGTAGCACATACAGCAGCACATACAGCAGCACATACAGTAGCACATACAGTAGCACATACAGTAGCACATACAGTAGCACATACAGCAGCACATACAGCAGCACATACAGTAGCACATACAGTAGCACATACAGTAGCATAAACCAGTAGCACAATACAGTAGCACATACAGTAGCACATACATAGCACATACAGCAGCACAGCAGCATACAGTAGCACATACAGTAGCACATACAGCAGCACATACAGCAGCACATACAGTAGCACATACAGTAGCACATACAGTAGCACATACAGCAGCACATTCAGAAGCACATACAGAAGCACATACAGTAGCACATACAGTAGCACATACAGCAGCACATACAGCAGCACATACAGTAGCACATGTAAGAGAAAGTAATGGTCCCTTTGCATGCCTTTTATAAACCTCTCATTTCTCAGTGGGTGATGTGATCATCGTTCTGCTCTCCATCTTTACTTTCCAAGACTTTCCTTGGTACCCATTCTTGGCTGGGTCGACATGAAAGCCAATATTTTTTTTTAAACAAGAAAATCCGACCTGTTGCAGATTCACATCCCTGATCTTCATGTTAGAAGGTGGAGTGTCTAGCTATATCACCCTGGCTCCTTTCATACAGTCGTGACAGCCTAGTGTGGACAGCCCAGTTCATGGATGCTGCAGTTCTTTCTGAATAGCTCACTTTTCCATGGAAGTCCAGTTCTTTTTGAATAGTACAAGTATTCATAGACGACCAAATTCTCCATGTATAGCCCAGTTCTCCATGATTAACCCAGTTCTCCTGGGATGATCTGGTTATTTTTGGACAGCACATATGTCCAAGGATAACCCACTACTCCATGTAAAGTGGAGTTCTCCAAAGAGGACCCAATTCTCTTTGGACAGTCCAGTTCTCCAAGGATAGTGCAGTTCTCTATAATTAGTCCCGTTTCCGGAGATAATGGCAGGGGATGCAATTTAGTTTAATGTCATCGTGACAAGCTTATATGATGAGCATCAAAGTGCCACAATCAGATAAATCTTGGACGCTGTGCGAGACCCATCGGCCTGTACACACACACACACACACACACACACACACACACAGAGTTGCTTAACCACACAGACACACAAAGGCACCCGTGCGCGCGCGTACCACACTCACACACACGCGCACATCTCCCCCCCCCCACCTCTTCCCTATGTATGAATTGCTGTGACGTGATAACTTATTTATATTTATGTCTCCTTGAAAAATGTCCACATATGTTAGTCATTAGAGTCAGTTGATTAAATACATGACGTTCTTTACTGTGATATCTGTCTGCCTTAGTCACTGACGGTCTTTGTCAGCAATGTCAATTGGAGGGGGGATTGGGGGGGGGGGGGGGGGGGGAAATGTTCAACATGTTCAATTCAATATTGTTCGTATCAGCGATGTTCATGTGGATATTGTTCGTATCAGCGATGTTATGCGTCGTCATCATGCATGGTGATATTTTTGTATGTGGATATGATAGATCGTGTTCAGTAATTTCATGTAATGTTCAATGTCATAGAGGAAAACAAATCGGATATCATGTCAGTAATTTAAAACTAAAATGCTTTTAAACTAAAATGTTACAGAAACATTCTTAGAATACCAGATCAAGAAGAAAACCATTGCTATCCGGCATGATCTGAACATCGAGGAAAACTGGCTCATAAACGGCATCCTGTCCCAAAAGCTGAAATATTGTGGCCATATTAATTGTCCTGGTGGCTGGAGAGACTGGTGATGGAGGGCGCGGTTTCCTTGAAACCGAGGCAACGGCCGATCGGCGTGATTAGCCGTTCATTCATGCTTGCTAACCTTTCACACGCGCTAGTCTAAGTTACAGGGAAGTCATGTTGTGTTCTGTTTTGTATATACTCTGAACTGCCAGGTACACGTTGCGTTTTACTCGTTGTTCTGGGAGGAAGGCGACAGGGCGTCTGTTCTAGCCTCCTACTACATACATTTACTTCATTTGTCAGCGTTGATGTCCGACAAGGAGAGGAGCGTTGCTTTTCTTCAGCAACACGGTATTCTGCCGTCTTGCGGACGAAAATTGTTAACAGTTCTGAAAGCACGGGACGTAGGCTGAGGGTGGAGGGGGGGTGTGAGGGTGAGGTTGGGTGTGTGTGGTTGGAGCCAATTCTC